AGCCCAGTCCACCCATGACCCATCCCTTTACTTAGCCCATTCCATGTGTACATGTGTATTCTGTAGACCCAAAAAAAAAGAAACGGAAGAAAAGAAGTGCCGATCGAAGACACTAGAAACGTCAAGAAAGGACCGGACGCCGAGCCGGAGTCACCGCCTCCACCGCCGGACGCCGACGCCGAGTCGCCGGCCTGCACGCCTCCACCATCCAGGTAATTATTCATAGCCTTCCCTTTCCAATTTTGTAATTTTTATTTCTTAAATCTTAATTTTCTTTCATTGTTTCCTTTTTTAGATTTAAAATCTAGGGTTAATTATTAGTTTTTAATTTGAAATCTTTTCTAATTTCATTCTTTGAAATAGAATGAATGAATGGTTTTATATGTTATTTATTTGATTTGGATGAATTGATTTGAATTTGTTATTTATGATAATTATATATTTATATTAAAAAAAACTGAAAACCGAAAAAAAAAACTGATAAATTGATATGAATTTATGATTTATAAAAAATTTAAAACTGAAAAAGAAAAAACAATTAAAAAAAGAAAAATTGACGAATTGATATTAATTTATGATATATTTATTTGCTTGCTTTTTTCAGTTTTTGTTCTTGATTTTACTTAGTATAATACTATAATTTTGCCATTTATTTTTTTCTTGTAATAATATTGCGTTAATTATAATTTAAATATAATTAGTTTACATATGTGAATTTTTTAGACAATTAAGGATAAGACTTGCCTTTTTTCTGTTTCGGCCCAGGCTGATGAATCCTCAGGACCGGCCCTGCCAATAACACTTAAATCTTAAAAAGTGCATGCAAACAATACGTTCATTAAAAGTATGCACTTAAAAAGTGTGTGAGATACCTGAAAAAATTCATTCTGTTAGATAACTCATTTTGTGTATATCATAATTAAACATACAAATGAGTAAATCTTGGTCACATCAGGGAGTACATTCTTTGTTGAACGTGTTCGGTAGATGCGAGACTATAGTTGATTTGAAGACAATCGCTCTCTATATGTACCCCTAACATCCATCATAAAATATCACTACAAACCCTAATTTGCATGCAATAGTTTTTTTAGATAATGTACTAATAATTTTTTCGTGAAACCACACGGCAATTATGTTTTCATTCATCTTTCCTATTTCTTTTTACAATTCACTAAAAAAAATTGAATTACACATACCTTTCTAGAACGGAAATGTAAATGGTATTTTGAGAATCTATGACAAACTTTTCATGTCAAAATGATACAATAAAAAGTGTGAAACTGGCACCTGAATTACTAGTTTTAAATGACACTGTTGGGTTAAGGAACCCGAAAGCCTAGGAGACTAGGCGGAAGAGTACTGAACTAAGTCGAGTGTGCACCTGTTGGGAATAAGTAAGTTGTAAGTATTATTGTGCGAGCCAGAACGTCACTCCCCCCCTTTGGAACGGGTTTTATATGCGATTTACAACGGAGGGTTCCCAACCGTTGGTTTGGAGTCCAACGGTGTGGGCCGACTAAGATTGGGTTGTTTAGTGGCGACGCCTAACCACATTATTATCCGTATGACTGCTACAGAAAATAGGTTACAAATAGTGTGGCAAGGCACACTATTTGAATTTAATGGCTATTTATAAATCCGTTTTGTACGCACTTATCTTCTATATATTTAATGTGTTATTTTCCAATTTTGAATTAAACAAATCATTTTTTCAATGATTTTTATTAGTTTTTATTTATGATTGTAAAAGTGTACAAAAGTTATGTCTTATTGTAAAAAGAATAAATTGAGTCAAAAGTAGTACAAAAAATGTAAAATAGAGGAGAGAGGAGAAAGGAGAAAAAAATTATGAAGGAAATAAATTCTTTAATATAATTTTTGAGAGTTGATAGCCTAAAATTTTGACACGTGGCAAATTTAGACTCCTAATTTGATGACAAGTCGGATGACACGCATCCAATTATAGGCGAAGTTCTCTTCCAGACCCCGTTCTTTCTCTCGCCAAGTTCTTCGCGCAGAAGGAAAGAAATCTGCTGCAAATCTTCACGCTGAAAGGAAACGAATATGATTCAACCCTGATTCCTCGCTCCAGTAGCCGATTCTTAGCCTCCTATGCGCGAAGCACTGACCTCTTCCATCGTCCAACGCTTCTCCTTCTCCAAAAAAGCACCGTACTGTACATCTTCATTGAAGGAAATTTGCACCTAATGAAGGAAAGTCAACATCCACTGATTCTTCGCGGATTCTTCAAGTCAATATTGAGATCTACATCGTCAAATTCAATTTATTTTGTGTCAATTCAATAATCAGGTTTGTTTCCAAATATCAGATTCAAATCTCATTCAATTCATAACTTAGTGAATTCGTGGATTCGAGGCTCTTAAAATCCTTACTTATTTGATATGGACTCATTTCATTGTCCCACACCGGTTATATGAGGGACTTGGTGATGAATTTATATAGCCGAGGGTTCTCCCACCTTATCAGCTAGCTTTTAGGGTGTGGCTCTCCCTTGTGCTGTATCAATGGTATCAGAGCCAACTCGGAGTGGTGGCCTACGGAGTGGTGGCCCACGTAGTGGTGGCCTGGTGAAACCAGCCGTGACCAACGTGGTCGTGACCAATGTAGCCGTGACCAACGAGGACGTTGGGCCTTATGGGGGGTCGAATGATATGGACTGATTTCATTGTCCCACACCGGTTATATGGGGGACTTGGTGATGGGTTTATATAGTCAAGGGTTCTCCCACCTTATCAGCTAGCTTTTAGGGTGTTGCTCTCCCTTGTGCTGTATCACTATTTCAGAATAGTATATGTTTATGGAGGTTGGACAAGTATGGTTTAAGTTTTGCAGCCATTGAGTTGTGGCACTAGGGATAATGGGAATGGGTTGATTATGAAAAATATAACCCAATTTATAACTATAATTTGTTTAGAGACCATCACCAAAATAACCCAATTTATAACTATAATTTGTTTAGAGACCATCACCAATAACAGGGCGGTTCATGTGACATTGTCAGACCATACAATATCATGGGATGACTTGGGGCCGCTATGGTGCCTTGTTCATAAAATTGACAGTTTGTACACCCTGACAAACCTCTCACCCTGCGAACCCAGCTCCCAACCCAGGGGCGGACCCACATAGGGTCATACGGGGTCAAGCGACCCCACGAAAATTTAATTTTTTTTACTATATATATATATATATATACATATACATATATATATATACACACACACACACACACACACACACATACCTAGATTTAGTATATATACTACAAAACACTAAATGTTTCTACTTGTCAGCGCTGAAGGTGTGGAATTGTGGAGGGCTTTGTGTTTCCGCGTTTGGGTGGGCGATCTTGTGTTCGAATCCAGCTGTATGGAGCAGACTTTACATATTATTTTTAAGAAGAGTGATATCTAAAATGACATTGTTTTTTTCTTTTTTTTTTTCTCTTAAACTAGTTCCACACATCCCACTTCTGCACCAGATCTCCAGAGTCCAGACCTAAAATTGGAAGTTGAGACTGACCAGTGACCATACGCTCGCAAAAGGCCGACTACAAACCTCTGCCGACCGCCGATTGCTGACTGCCGCTTGGAAGTTGGAACCGACGATGGCGACAAGAACCCCCCCAAGGCCCCAATTACTCGAACAACCAGGTTTTTTCTCTTATATCTAATTATCTAAATTGGATATTTTTATTTTATTTGTAAATTGTGATAATTTTAATTAATTTTTACAAATTTATTACTCTAAATAGCAAAATAGAGAATTGAATTCGTTTATTTATTTTGTAAGATTTTGATTTGTGATTTGTGAATATGTTAATATAATTAGGTTATGTACTTATGCTTTAAGTTTATAATGTTTTTAATTATTTAAAGAGTAAATTCCCAAAATAATCCTTTGTAATAAAGGGTTTTCCCAAATTAGTCTTCAATAAGTTTTAATTACCTACGTGGTCCTCTATAATTGAGATTTATTCCCAAAATAGTCCTTTGTAATAA